ACATGCTAAATTAAAATTTCAAGAAGATGTACCATTGAAAATGACAATTGTCATAATCGTTATTTTTAAAGTTTTTTGACCAAAATGGGTTAAAATAAGTATTGCTAGCATGTTTAAATAAAACTTCAGTGAAGATGTACCCTAGATAAGTGACAATTATCATAATCATTATTTTTAAACTTTTTTTGACGTAAATGGGCCAAAATAAGTATTGATAACATATTTAAATAAAACTTCAGTGAAGATGTACCCTAGATAAGTGACAATTGTCAAAATCGTTATTTTTAAAGTTTTTTGTATTTTTTTAACGCAAGTGGGTAAAAATATAGATTGTTAACATGCTAAATTAGAATTTCATGAAAATGTACCATAAAAAGTGACAATTGTCATAATCGTTATTTTATAACTTTTTTTATTTTTTTGACGTAAATAGGCTAAAATAAGTATTGCTAACATGTTAAAATAAAATTTCATTGAAATTTACCCTAGATATGTGTCAATTGTCATAATCGTTATTTTTAAAGTTTTTTGACGCAAATAAGTAAAAATATAGATTGTAAACATGTTAAATTAAAATTTCATGAAGATGTACCATAGAAAAGTGACAATTGTCATAATCGTTATTTTATAACTTTAAATTTTTTAGACGCAAATGGGCAAAAATATAAATTGCTTACATGTTAAAATAAAATTTCAGTGAAGATGTACCATAGATTAGTTACAATTGTCATAATCGTTGTTAATAAAGTTTTTTTCAATTTTTTTGTTGCTAAATTAAAATTTCATGAAGATATACCATTGAAAACTGACAATTGTTATAATCGTTGTTTTTAAAGTTCTTTGATGTAAATAGGTTAAATATAGATTGTAATCCATTTTAACCATTTTATAAAAATAAAATCTTAACATTAAATTTATAGGATGTTGATTGTATCATATTACTAAATAATATTCATATGGTTTTTAAGTTCTTTCTATAAAAATCCTACCCTGAATTCAGACTCAGCACTATTTTGCCACGATTATACAAAAATATTTGCTAACTATGAATGCAAGGTTATTTTTATAATGTAGAATTAAAATTAATTAATTAAGATTGTGAATCCATATCTTAAAAGTTTAGAATTTAACATAGGTTACAACTATCTTTAATAATCACTTTGCATATTTTTATCAAATTTTAAGCAGGATAAAAGGAACAACGATTATGAGCATGAAAATATCGATTTGTTTTTTTGTTTCGACTGAAATTTTATTTTAACATGTTAAAATTTATATTTTTGTCCAATTTAGTCAAACAATTCAAAAACTATAAAAATAACGATTATGACTATTGTCACTTATCTAGGGTATATCTTCACTGAAATTTTATTTTAATATATTAGCAATTTATATTTTAGCCCATTTGCTTCAAAAAAATTTAAAAACTTTTAAATAACAATTAAGACAATTGTCACTTTTATATGGTACATCTTTATGAAATTTTAATTTGACATTTTTACAATCTATATTTTTATCCATTTGTATCAAAAACTTTAAAAACAACGATTATGACAATTGTCACTTATCTATAGTACATCTTCATTGATATTTTATTTTAACATGTTAGCAATTTCTATTTTTGCCCATTTGCGTCAAAAAACTTTAAAAATAAGGATTATGACAATTGTCACTTATCTAGGGTACATCTTCACTTTTATTTAAACATGTTAGCAATTTATTTTTTGCCCATTTGCGTCAAAAAAATTCAAAGAACTTTTAAAATGATTATTTATTTAAACATGTTATCAATAGTTATTTTGGCCCATTTACGTCAAAAAAAGTTTAAAAATAACGATTATTACAATTGTCACTTTTCTGGTACATTTTCATGAAATTTTAATTTAACAAGTTTAAAATCTATATTTTTACCTATTTGCATCAAAAAAACTTTAAAAATAAGGATTATGACAATTGTCACTTATCTAGGGTACATCTTCATTGAAGTTTTATTAATACATGTTTACAATACTTATTTTAGCCGATTCGTCAAAAAAACTTAAAAAATAACGATTATGATAAATGTCACTAACAAAATAAGAAGGGGTGAATTAATCAAAATTTAGAGCGTAAAGAAAATACTTAAAAGGGAACAATACTCAACTTATAACTTAACTTAATCAAGCCTCTAAATTAATCAGCAAAATATTGAATTAATAAAACACAATATCTTTTATTATAAAATTTATTTGCAAAAATTTAATTATATTTAAAACAAAAATTAATATCGCAAAAAAAATTTATGATTAATCTATTAAAAATCATAAAAAAAATTAATGATTATCAAAAATCATTTTACAAAAACGATGCAAAAAAATGATAATCAAAAAAATCAAAGTTATTATTAAAAAAATGATTGACATTTCTATTAATTTTATATAAACTAAAAAAAAATATTGCGAATTACGACATGCCACCCATTTATGGGCCAGTGACACGCCTATCAAATCATATATATAATATTCAATATATATTTACAAATATATAATACAAAGATCTTACCAATTATTATAATAAGAGAATTTTTCTTCATATCATGTTCATAGGAAAAATATATGATATCCCGTTGTCTAATTTTACTCCATATTTATATAATTATGCCTCTTGATTATTAATGATATTAAGAGAATAATGAATGTTCTAGGTCCTACAAAGGTATGCTATATGGACATCATCGTGTAACATGTTAGGACGGTAATTTGCTTATACGAATTCCTATATCATATCATATTCATAGCGTAAAAAGATTTGATCTCTATTTGTCTACATTAACGTCATATTTATGTAATCGGGGGGGGGGGGGAGGGGGGGCTTAGTTGTCACTGCTTTGAAAGGTTGAATAAACGATAATCTTCTATGAGCGTTGGCTTGATAACTAGCTTGACAAGAGTCTTCATACGTACATTGGACTGATATTGGGGAATATGTTTCATATGTGATTATTAAGATATGTTAATGTTACATTTTGGCAATTGGATATAAAAGGAAAATTTATTTAATATATATATTTTTTTTTTCTTTTTAAAAAAAAAATTATTAAAATACATAAGTGTAATACAAACATAAAAAAATATAAAAGAGAATAAATTATCATAAGTTACCGTTTAAAAAAAAAATACTAATGATATTTATGCCACGAAAAAGGGGAAAAATATTTTATCCATAAATATCATTCATATATGGTGAATTCCATATCAAATCAACCAAGGTTTCAACCCGACCCCCTTCAATTTTTCTTAAATTTTGTATACTGGTAGTATATACAAACTAAGAAAAAAATGAAATTTTACCTTCCAACACTGTTTACCCGCTAAGATATGGCCGTTTAAAGCGCGGAAAAATGGTACATTTTTGACAAAATGCACCTCATTTATTTTCAAATATCTCGAGAAATAATAAAGTTAGAAAAATAATTAAAAATTTTTTTGTAGCTTAATAATAGTTCTTTAAAATGACATAAAAATAAATATGATGGACATTTTATTAAAAACGGCCATATCTTAGCGGGTAAACAGTGTTGGAAGGTAAAATTTCATTTTTTTCTTAGTTATAGTATATACTACCAGTATACAAAATTTAAGAAAAATTGAAGGGGGTCGGGTTGAAAATCGACTTTTTTTTGTTGATTTGATATGGAATTCACCATATATAAAAATAAGTTAGGAGAAAAAACATAAACAGAAGGGCTGGGAAAAAAAATATATTTAACAAAAAAGAATTTTTTACCAAATGTTAAAGATTTTCTTTTTAATATATGTTATGAAGCACCATGATAAAAAAGTCATTCCCCAAATTGATACTGTATTTTCTTTCCAACAAATATATACTTTTACGTCTGACCACAACATAAAACCAGATAAAAAAAATAACAACTGGCAGACACTGCCGATTGGAAAAAACTTTTTATCAATGTGAATAATCAAAACACAGACATGACCAAACAAAAACTTTTTTAATACAAAAAGAAAACTTTTCTATTCACATATTAGATCAATCAGGCGATCCCCCAATCCTTATTCATTTCTTCTCTAATTGACTTATAAACATAACGTCAATTTTCAAAAAAAAAGTCAAACCATACCAAACAAAAATCCTCTATACAAATGTTACTAAAACATCTTTATAAGTCAAACAATACCAAAATAAAAATCATCTACACAAATGTTAGTTCGTTAGTTCAATCAGGCGAATCCCCCAACCCTTATTCTTTTCTTCTCTAATTTACTCATATACATAACGGTAATTATCAAACTTTTCTTTTCAAATGACCATCTACCCTGGCCTCTGGTTAGACAAAGAAAAACTTTTCTTGCCAAACAAAAATTATTTATACAAATATTAAATCAATCAAGCGAATCCCCCAATCCTTATTCTTTTCCAATATCAGTAAAATGGTAAAAAACTTTTTAATTAACCTGTCTGAATTGAACCATAAAATTGGACAGAAATTGACCACAAAAACTTGTATAAATTGAATAATAAAAAATGACCCAATATACTGAAACCTGACACGATATAAACCGTTTAATTAGTACCTTTAAGATTCATTCTAAAAAAAATCGAGTATATCTTCTCATAATATTTACCCCTTCTTATTTTCTCCTAATTTCATGTGATCGGATGACGGATCACAGTAAACCAGGTTATTAACAAAATTTCACTTAATTTTGAACCCCGGTTTACTACAACCCGACCCTTTTCCCACTTCCTTCCCCGATTATCAAACAATCTGGCTCAAATCTTCTGGCCCAATGAAAATTTTATTCCTAATTTTACTCTCACTGAGGTAATAATTTTCCCTTTTGGTTTCAATAAATCTAAAGGACCCCGTGTTCGCCTACCTAAAAATAACTCTACAGGCGTAACCCCCTCTCGATTGCGAGAATTTAGGTAATATAATTGAGACATGTAAGCCTCATCCTTACGATTACCAGCCTTTCTAATCCAATTTTTAACAATTGCTACCATCCTCTCAGCTTGTCCATTCGAGCTGGGATGATACGGCGGCGTAAGAATATGCTGGGTCTGTGACACAGCACAAAACTGAACTCCTCACTTACGAAGGCGGGACCCCTATCAGACACTATCGTGTCGGGAAAACCGAATCGGACATATAATTCCTTTAATTTTTTGATAACTATTTTAGTGGTATAACCATACACTTCTGCATATTCTATCCACTTGGAAAATGAATCTACCACTAAAAATATGATTTTTTATCAAGGTCAAATAAATCAATGTGGATATGTTCCCAAGGTTTCTTTGATCTAGGCCAAACTTGCCCTACTTCTTTACGGGGCATAGGTATTACAAGGAACACATTTCCTGGTAATCTGTTCAATATCATTGCCCATACCAGGCCACCATACATATTCCCGAACCTAAGATTTCATCTTGTCCCGACCTTGATGTCCGGCATGCAATAAATTCATGATTTTACTCAGTAATTTATAAGGAATTACGGCCCTGTTTCCCTCATAATACAATCATCAACAATTGACAACTCTTTTTGTATTTTTTTTATTAAATCTTTGTCGTTCACAGTATTTGTTTTCAGATCCTCCCAATTGGTAGGACCTCCTTTTAAAATATATGACAGAGTACGCACTAAGGCTTTCTCTCTATCAATACTTATCCTATCATTTATTTCAGGATCTGCACAGCCAGAACCTAACCTAGACAAAATATCAGGCAAATGATTCTCTTTGCCTCGACGATATCTAATCTCCACGTTAAAACTGCCCACTAATAATAATCAACGTTGGATTCGGGGAGATAGCATCAACTCCCGGTTGTCCTTTCTGAATAAGTGAATTAAAGGTTTGTGGTCGGTAAAAATTACAAATCTTTTACCAATCAAATATTCACGACATTTTGTCAACCCAAAAATAACGGCCAAGGCCTCCTGTTCAATCACAGAATACCTCGTTTCAACATCTCGAAAAACTCGCGAGAAAAATATGATGGGTCTCTCTAAGCCCTCTATTACATGTAATAACGCTCCACCAACCCCTTTATTCGAGGCATCTACTGCCATACTGATTTCCAAATCGTTATTGAAACATACTGTCACAACGACATGGTAGTCATTGTGCATCAAAACCTAAATATAAAAATAGAAAACAAATATATATATATAAAAAGGAAATTAATAATAATTAGGAATCACGAAATCATAAAATCAACTTTAATTCTTTATTCAAAATTATAATAGTAAAAATCATAAAAAAATAAAATAAAATATAATTAAAAAATTAAAAGTAAATTTTAGTTAAAATAATAATCCCCTTTTTCGCCTCATAATTTCTCCATTATATATCCTTTTTCTTTAATCAACATTTACATAGTCTCACTAGCGAAGAATAAAAAGTTCTACCCCACTTGTTAAAACTGTTAAAGTATGAAAAAATCTACAAATCTCACGCGTTTTTTTCTCATTTACATAGACGGGGATATTTTAATAAAACATTATTTTTGTTTACGATTTGCATAATGCATTTTTTTGTAAAGTAAAACTGCAACACCCTTCCACTTAAGTTAGACCCACCAATCTGCGAATAATCAATCTTCTTTCGATCTCGACTTGTTCTTCTTAATTTTTGCTGTCTTCTAAGTTCTAACGAAGGCTTTGTCGCTTGAAATTTTTGAATTCTATCTGTCGCTTGTCACCCTGTGAAACGATCAGCTTTTTATCGCTGTAAGCCACTGACGAACTTGATACACGCCTGTTTTCCACTATCCACGATTGATAACGATTATCGATGACATCCAGTTTCCTTTCCTCTCTTGTTTTTTGCTAGTCTGTCTTAATCTTTTTTACAATTTATCGTAGCTTTCTTATCAAGACTAAAGTCTCGGAATAATTGGCTATTATTGGTCAGCGATTAACGATTGCAGCATAACGTCTTGACCCTCTTTTCTATCAATTTGCTTGTTTTCCCCCTTTCTCTTGTAATTGATTGGTTGTTGCCTCTAATTCTTGTAATCGTATCTATCTTTCAGACTTTCGGGTCTTCTACGACAGTTTGTCCTTGCTGAGATATCGGGTTATCACATCTAATCTACTTCTACCTAAAATAATCTATTTACATATCTACATTTATCTCCTCTAAACTAATTCTGCCTTTAATAAATGGCGTAAATTATACTAAATCTTAAATTTTATAATACGTAGCAAAATATAATAAATTATATAAATATATCACATTCTATCACCCCTCTCCCCTTAATGAAGCCTAGACCCATATTTTCATTGAAAAATTTACTTGTATTTAGATCTCATCTTCTTTTCAGCCATGTCTAAATTTATATTTAAAAATCCTATTCTAAAATATATATCAAAACCTATCTTTTTTTTTTTTAAAAAAATTATCATTGTGTATTTATTTCCTCATGTACTCTTTGACACTCAGTCTTTAAAAAACTGCTGAAATATATAAATCTCTTTTCATACATACGTTGTTGAGAAATCAATGACCTAATCATAAAAGTTTTCATACTTACATGAACAACCTCTTACTTCTAATCACTATGGTTTTCACCCCACGTCTTTGAAGAACTTATGAAATTTAATCATTATAATTTTTCGCACAACCGTTGTTGAAAACTGATATGTATATTTCTAAAGCATGTTTTTGCTTTTGTATTATTAGAATAATATTGTATGATTCTTCTTAAATCTTATTCATGATTCAAAATAAAAATCCGATCTCAAATTGAGCTCGATTGCGGCCTAAATTTTCTAATGACGAAAAGCCGATTCTCTCTATGAAGATTTTTTGGTTAATCTACAACCTAATATACTAATTCACATTAATCCTTGAGGCTGTTTTATCTCTCGCAGCCCTTAAAATAAAAGTTAAACGTAAATCTTCAATAAGAATTTAATCAACTATTTCCTAACAATAAAGTTATATTCTAATCTTATTCACCGAATTTTTTAATTATTATATCTCAGCAACCTATTAGTTAAATATTAACTTTCGCAATTTATGTTTCTATTTCTTTGTCAAAGTTATTTCTAGTGATCACTTGATAATAATTCTAAAATCTAAAATATCATAGTCTTTATTAGTTTCAAAACCTTTGTCTTTAATTTCTAGATTTTATATTCCTACATAAACATAATCTTAACCACATAATTTTTCCCTTTCATCTTTATTTACATATTTTTCTTACGTTCTTCTGGAATTTTTTTTTTGTATTAGAATACAGTTTGACACATCTCCTTGTTGCCGGTCACAGACTGAAGGTTATTAAGGGCCGGTCTCCTCCGCTCTTCGGCACCACTGTCACAACGACATGGTAGTCATTGTGCATCAAAACCTAAATATAAAAATAGAAAACAAATATATATATATAAAAGGAAATTAATAATAATTAGGAATCACGAAATCATAAAATCAACTTTAATTCTTTATTCAAAATTATAATAGTAAAAATCATAAAAAAATAAAATAAAATATAATTAAAAAATTAAAAGTAAATTTTAGTTAAAATAATAATCCCCTTTTTCGCCTCATAATTTCTCCATTATATATCCTTTTTCTTTAATCAACATTTACATAGTCTCACTAGCGAAGAATAAAAAGTTCTACATCCCACTTGTTAAAACTGTTAAAGTATGAAAAAATCTACAAATCTCACGCGTTTTTTTCTCATTTACATAGACGGGGATATTTTAATAAAACATTATTTTTGTTTACGATTTGCATAATGCATTTTTTTGTAAAGTAAAACTGCAACACATACCAAAATCGGTTCGTTTCCAATTTTTTCCTTTAAAATTTCAAAAGCCGTTTACTGTTCAAATGCCCACTCAAAATATCTTCCCTTCTTTAATAAATCATATAACGGCGCAGCTACCTTCGCAAAATCCTATATGAACCGATGATAGTAATTCACCATACCCAAAAAGGATTGCACCTCAGCCTTACTACTGGGCTGTTTTATATTCGATATATTTTTTAAATTTTTATCCAAAGGCTTCACCTCAATGCCATTAATTAGATGCCCAAAATAATTAACTTCGGTGACTTCAATAACACTTTTTTATCTGCTTGCTCTCAAGCCTTTAGCACTAATTCTCTTAAAACCCTCTTCCAGACGATGTTATGTTGATCTGGCGTAGCCCCAGTGACCAACACATCATCCATGTAATAAAATATCCCTTCCAAACCTTGGAAAACCGATGCCATTGTACGCTGAAAAATAAATGTGGATACGCTTAATCCAAAAGGTAATCTACAAAAAGCAAACAGGCCTTTAGGCGTCGTTATAGTTAGCAATTTGCGAATTTTCTCCTTCAACGGTAATTGTAAATATGCCGAAAAAAAAATCCACTTTAGAAAAATATTTTGCACCCTTTAAATTGGCCAATATTTCTTCAATTCTGGGTAAGGGATATTTGACATCCACAACCCAACAGTTTACAGTGACTCGAAAATCAGCACATAATCTCAACTTTCCATTGGATTTCTTTACGGGAACTAAAGGTGTGGCCCATTCACTATATTCCACTGGAACAATGATACCCACTTTTACCCAACTGTCTAATTCATCATCGATTTCATTTTTCCATTCAAAAGGAACTCGTCGACATGCCAGAAAAATAGGTGAGAATCCCTCTTTTAACTTTACCTCTACTTGATAATCATTAAGACAACCTAACTTGTCTTCAAAAATTATTTCATATTTCTTCATTAAAAGAGATATATCCTCACGCATTTTATGTAATTCATTACTGTCAATAGCAACCATTTGGTTTCCATTAATGCTAATATTATCCTCAACATATAATTCCGTGGAATTTACATACCTATCAGAATTAAGGGTTGAATTCTCTTCTTTTACGGTTAAATCCGTCTCTTCTATTTCATAAATTTTTTTTCGAGCATTATCAGCAATATTTTTGTTTTTAGTCTCATTTAGGACCGAACCATTATGTATGGCAAAAATATTCCAATAATTATTGAAAGGACCTAACTGAACAATCCAATCCCATCCCCATGATGGTCTCCACATCTTTCTTCACTACCCATAAATCTAGGAAAAATGTGCTATCGTGGAGAATTACTCCCAACTTAGTTTTTCCCAAAACTACAATTTCCGACTCGTCAAATTGCCTGAGATTCTTTTTCAAGTATGGCCCCAGGCCAATACTTATAATAATTTTTCCTAGACATTATTGCAATGCTAGCCCCTGTGTCGAACAACATGTCGATGTCCCTCGAGTCAATTCTTACAGTAACTCTCAAACAAAGACAAGGTTCGACTAATCACTCAGTCATTAAAATCTCATATATTTTAATTGACAGATCCATATTTATTTCATTTGAAACATCAGTTTCATGAGAATTCACATTTGAACATAAATTCAACTCGGAATTTAGCGGTTCTTTAATAATATTCATATTTTTTTTAACAATATCACGGGGATATCTTTTCCATTCGAACGTATTAACATCCCTTTTATCGGAATATTTAACAATACCCTTAGGATATTTCCCCCATCTATAATTATTAGAATTTTCATTATTTTATCATCAGGATAAAAAAATTTCTGTTAAAACCACGGCTCTTATGAGAATTATATCTCATTTCAGCATGGTAATTTAATTTATTACTATTTCTACCTCCCGATCCCTTACCTATTATATGATTACACTTGCAAACATATAGTCAATTTTCGGTACAATTTATGGCTACATGTCCCGGTTTGTTACACTTAAAAAATAAACGGGATTTACCATAATTCGATTGTGGAACCTCCAATTTATTCGTGTTGGTACCAGAAATTTTTCTAACATTATAATTTTCTAGTATCGATTTCCTTAACGGAAAACCCTCACAAAAATTTTGTTCTTTGACCACACAGGTCTCTACCTTGTGGCCCTTATACCCACAGCGGGTACATTAAAATATTTCCGCTGACCCCGTTGGAACACATATTTGGCCTTTACCTCCATTACTATTCAAATTAATTAATTTATGTATATCTTGATAAATCACCTCTTTCATTTCTTTCAGTTCCCGGAGGATAACCACAGATCTATCCACCATTTCCAAACGATCATCGTTATTACATTTCAACATTTCCGCCATTTCTGGTCTGCCGTTCTTTTTCATTTAAATTACTTTCCAAGACCGAAATTTTTTCCCAACAATCAGCCGACACAGGAGTGTCTCTTTTCCAATTAGACCAAAGTACATTTTCTAAATAAAAATTTCAAAATAATATAAATTAAATATATAATTACTATTAATCCTAATGTAATTACATGATGGCCTATATCCAATTCATTAATGTTTTGATACAAAATTTTATAACCCATATCCTTAAGGATGGCAACTTTATTAATAAAACTAGGCTTAGGATACTTATCGAAATATACAACCATCGCATATTACGAATTTACTTTACTCTAAAATTACGTTATTACAGAAAATTATATTATATTATAAAGATTGGGTGTTAATCGAACTAATCTAAAAAAATATTTTTCAAACTATTTTATTAATTAAAATTCTACAAAAATTTAAACAACAAAAATGTGATTGCGTTGTGTCTTGAGGAGAGATACAAAATGTAAAATAAAAATGTGGTTTTTACCTTATAATAACGAATAATTTTGGTATCAAATATCCTATAGTCACGGTTAACAACTAACAAAATAAGAAGGGGTTAACTAATCAAAATTTAGTGCGTAAAAAAAATACTTAAAAGAGAACAATACTCAACTTATAACTTAACTTAATCAAGTCCTAAATTAATCAGCAAAATATTGAATTAATAAAACACAAGAGATATCTTTTATTATAAAATTTATTTGCAAAAATTTAATTATATTTAAAACAAAAATTAATATAGCAGAAAAAAATTCATGATTAATCTTTTAAAAATCATAAAAAAATTAATGATTATCAAAAATCATTTTACAAAAAAGATGGAAAAAAATGATAATCAAAAAAATCAAAGTTATTATTAAAAAAATGATTGAAATTTCTACTAATTTTATATAAACTAAAAAAAAATATTCTACGACAGTCACTTTTACATGGTGGATCAATTGAAATTTTAATTTAACATGTTAAAAATACATATTTTACAGTATAAAAAATCTAATATGTTTAAAAATACCGATTATAATTGTCATTCTTCCAGGAACATCTTCAATAACGAATATAAAAGTTGTCAGATTAAATTATTTTCCTTAAAAAGATCATATAAAATAACATAAATAAGTTAAATAAAAATATTTTAAAAAAATTTTATTTAGAAAACCCACCTCTTTTAATATACTTAAAAAATAGATAATTTTACAAAAATGATAAAAAAAAACTATAAAAGATTTGATTTGCCTAACTTTGATCGTAAAGTCATTTGATCGTAAATTTTGTCCATTTTTTTCTGATTGGTCTATTTAATCGCGGAAATTAAAATCATTTATAACCCTAACCCCAACCCTAACCTTAACCCTAACCCTTACCCTAACCCTAAACCTAACCTATAAATTAAAAAATCGTCCATTTTGACCAAAAATGGACAAAATGGACCATTTTACGATCAAAATAATACGATCAAAGGAGGCCCTCCCAAAGATTTCACCTAAAAGATTGTTTATTTATAATAAAATTCACAAAAGAATTCCTCAAAATAGATTTAAAATTTTTATAAAAATATGTTCAAAAATCTTTTTGAACTCCAAAAAATATTTTTTGTTTAAAATTTTGGTCGTGAAACTCACTAATAAATTGTAACAAAAATAATATTATAATAGTAGCATATCATTTTTTTTATTAAAAAAATATCAAATAAAAGAAATCCATTTCATTTCATAATATAATAATATAAATAAAAAATATATATCATATAATATGTTTATTGTTGATAAATAAAATATTAACATTAAATATAAATAAAATAAATTCTTTTAATAAAAATAAAAAAATAATAATAGGCCGCGTTATATTTCGCGAAATAGTTTTCGCTATATTGTCTTCGCGATTTATGTTTCGCGATAAAAATTTCGCTCTTATGTATTCGCTTTAAAGGTTTCGCGATAAGAGTTTCGCTATAAAAAATTCGCGATATTTGTTTCCCTATAATGTTTTCGCGGAAAAGTATTCGCTAATGTGGATTTGCGATAAAAGTTTCGCTATAAAATTCATTCACGATAAACGACATTCGCGATGAAAGTTTCGCGAAAAAGTGTTTCGCTGAATTGACATAGAACCATTCATCCGGTGATATATTAAAAAATTTAAGTCCTTTTTTTTACATCTTGCGAAAAAAGTGAAAGTGGTACAATGCCCGGAGTTGTAATCGAACTATCGAATCGCCACGGATATTTTAACTAAATATTTATCCAGTTTAGCGCTATTCCCTTACCGCAACGTAGCGCGACACCCTCACGGGATCTTAAATTTTATTATTTATTTTAAAAGTTGTCGTTTTTTAACATTATAAAAATATATATGTCCATTATATGTGTAAATCGGTAGCTAATCAAAATATTTATCCAATAGGAGGTCAACCTCTCCTCCTTAATGGGTGAGTCCAGTCCCAGGTGGTCGGTAATATTTTAATAAACAGAAAATATAGATATGGGTATGGGTATCAAATAAAAAGTAATTAAAATATTTTCTTCATCCTACTGGTTGGATTTTGTATGTGGGCATATATAAAAAAATAAAAATTCTATATGGGCATTAAATAAAAAATAATTAAAATTTCCTTTGGCTTTGTTGTATTAATAAAATATTGACATTATATATTTTTTTACGCATTAATTACATTTAACTTTTGTTACATAACCCTTAAAATCTTTACAATATTTAAAATTATGTTTTATCATTAATTCCACTTCTCTTGCTGATAAAAATAATCTATATTTAGTTTAATGTATATCATATTATTCATTGGAATTTAATAAATTAATCCTAAAGGATGATTTCAGGAGATCAATAGTGAGAAAAAATACTATTAACCTTAATATACATATTTTATCAATAAAAATTTATAAAAAAATGTTCTTATATATAGATATTCTATATGGCATATAATTCTGCTTATGGTTTCCTTAAACTAACATTGATGATTCAAAATATAAAATTTATCTTTTCAATATCTTTTTGGTGATTTTACATAAAATTGGTCAATTATTATAATTTCATTTTATTGCTTAATTACTTTAAT